GTCATTGGTAACTGGCCAATTAAACCCGGTTGCATACGAGACCAACCCCTGTACCGGGCAGTCCCAGCCCAAGAACATAAATGTGAATCATTTCCAGATATCGGGCTGCAAGGTGGCGCAGTTGGTAGCACTGTTGCAAGAAGGTCACCGGTTCGCGTCCCGGTAAGGACACCCGGGATCTTCCTGTGTGGAGTCTCCATGTGAGTCCCCTGTGCAGCGTGGGTTCTCTCTGGGTTCTTCGGCTTCAAGGTCCAAAAACATGTTGCGGTTAATTGGCGATTCTAAATTGTCCGTAGGTGTGAATGTGAGTGTGCTTGGTTGTCTGTCTCTAAGTGTAGCCCTGTGATAGACTGGTTACCTGTCCAGGTGTCCCCTGCCTTCGCCTTAGGTCAGCTTGGATAGACTCCAGCCCACCCCACAACCCTAATGAGGATTAAGCGGTGTATAGATAATGGATGGATGGATTTCCGGATATCGGGGCTTCTTCTGATAGATCTGAGAAAGCTCTGTCACTCCGACCTGTGACCCAATAAATTCTACATCTGTGAACTGAAAGTTTCTCCAGTTTGTTCTTGGGCATCCAACTAAAGAATCGGGGCCATCAGTTTGCAAATTCTGAGCAGACACCCAATGCCAGCCATCACACTTTTATTTAGCACAACACAATCCTTGATCAGAGTCACTGGGCTAAAGCAGATTCATGGTCAATCATCATATGAAGCTGATGGCCTCCATCCTGAGCACAACAGATCAATACAGCTTAACATTTATAAGTAGTTTTAATCAACACTGACCAATAAACCCACCAGCACAATGAGCTCTGAATCATGGATCAGATCTTGAAGTTTGAGAGTAATTCAAACAGATCTGGATCTATGTTGCTAAAAAGTGAAGCTTGCCTTGCAGCTAGAAGATCCCGGGTTTGCGTACCGGTTAGGATGGCCAGGATCTTTCTGCATGCAGCATGGGTTCTCTCCAGGTTCTCCAGCTAAGTTAATTGGTTATTCTAAATTGCCCACAGGGGTAAATGTGAATGTGCTTGGTTGTTTGTCTCTGTATGTGGCCCTGCGATAGGCTGGTGACCTGTCCAGGGTGTCCCTTGCCTTCGCCCTGAGTCAGCAAGGACGGACTCCAGCCCCCCATGACGCTAGTGAGGACTAAGTGGTTGGATTTTAGATTTGTGGCAAATTCATGGTGGACTTCAGGCTAAATAGAAGAAGTATCTATGCTCACCCAGCCAAAACAGTAAATTCATGTGTTCACGTAATGACAATAGAAGTACACTACCGGTCAAAAGTTTTAGAACACCCTAATTTTTCCAGTTATTTATTGCAATTCAAGTTGTACAAGTCCAATGAATAGCTTGAAATGGTACAAAGGTAAGNAAGTCAGTGAAAAAACTAAATACACAGGTAACGTAAGAGAAAAACGGCTAACACACAGCTAAAGTCAGCTAGCTGACTACACAGATAAAGTCACTGAAAGACAGCTAGCTACTTAGCTAAAGTCAGCTAACTACGTAGCTAAAAATTAGAGAAAAACTACCGACTATGTAACTGAAACTCATGGAACAAGTCAGCTATTAACAGCTAACTATACACAGCAAGATCTATACAAACACAGCTAACAACATAGCTCAGGTAACAGTTAACTAGCATAACGGTATAGTAAACCTCTTCTATAAAACAGTGTCAATGTCTGAAAATGACAAGTTTCAGTTGCTATCTGAACTGAAGGATAACGGACTGTTTCCTCCTTCCAGGTACTCGGTGAAGCCGTCGTGTGCTGAGGAGAAGCTGCCGTCTCAGTATCCGATCAGCCGACCGACTCTGCGACTGGTGGAAAATATTCTGACTCTCATGCTGCGCAGATGATCCAACACGAATGTGCTCTTACGACTTTATACGTGTTCAGAACACGCCGACGGACGGAGGACTTTGGAGAAAGTGTGCCTTTACAGAGTCTGAGCTGTACGGCCGAAGGAACGTCTACGGAAAGTTTCTGTATTTTCATTTACTGACTCTAAGGAGAGATAATATTTATATTACAAAGACAGTGCTGCAAGTCTGTCCCCTGTTAGAAACTAGCAGGACGGGCGCCTGGATAGCTCAGCGGGTAGGACGGGCAACGTACAGGGGCTATAGTCCCCGATGCAGCGGCGGCGGTCCGAGTCCAGCCAGTGGCTCATGCAGGTCATTCCCTCACTCTCCTCCCCATGTTTCTCTGTAACTCTTTCACCGTCAACCATCATTAAAGGCAGAAAAACTCAAAAATAAATCTTTAAAAAAAAAAGAAACCAGCAGGACATCATGTCACCAGTTCCTGCTACGATCCTGACAGGTTTCAGACCACCGTACGGTACATAGACCGCTCTACATAAACGTTCAGTTTACATGTATGCCTGATATTTTAAAGTTATTGTAAAGTGTGCAAAGACTCCTCAGGTGATGTGCACTATAAATAAATGGAAGTTGTATGAAAGACATTTGTTTTCACTGATGGAAGTTAGCTCGCTACATGGCTAACGTGAGCTAGCGCTTCAGCATACATTTCTTTTTTTCCTCAAACTGTTTATTCATACATGAAATAAACATGTTTTTTATACAACATGCAACATGTAATTTTAGTACCAAAAACAATACAGAAATATTTGGCAGTTTAATTTCACCAAACAATCAGTGTTTTCTGCTACAAGTCTCTGCTTAAGTCAGGAATTATCATAGTTGTAGTTTAAATCACTACAAATTTGACAAAATGATAAAGTTTTGTTATAATTAGCTATGTTGTGAGTTATCATGTATTCTGAATCTGTATTTCTC